GCCGGCCGGGTCTGTTTAAAAGTTTCGTGTTATGAAAACCAAGATATTAAATTTGTGTGGCCTAAACTACAACGAAAGAAATATTTAATATATAATACAAAAGAGAAAATATATATATATTGTTCGTGTGTTTAGAGTCAAGGGGTAAGGAAAAAAAGGGCTTGATATATAATATGTAAAAAAAAAACCATTTTATGTAGAAAGGGACAATAAAATATGTACAAAGAAAAACGAAAGAGACAGTCGAGACCGAAATAATAAAACAAGTACATGTGTACTTTCAATTCATTTGCTTTTATGAGACATAAGTTTCATAAATGGAGAACCGAAATGAATAGATCAAAATTGGTTTAATTTCGGTCAAAGTGGAAGGAGAGTTCTATCTATCTATCTATCATTATCTCATGACAAACTTTTTCACATAACTTCTCATATTTAAGTGCAAATAAACAAAGAAACTTTGTATATTTACGCGTGTCACATTACTCTGAGAAAATGTTGAAAAGAACAACGATACACAACGATACGTCACTTCAACCATTTTGCCATCGCCTCAAAATTGCTTCGCTACTCATTACAAGGAATTTGTATTCATTCACAGTTGTTGAATAGCTTTATCGCATTGAAGGGCGAGAGTCTTCATATTATCTACTGCGTGACATAGATCGTCATAATCCATATGGCACTCTGGTGTATATTTCTTTAACTCTAATTTTATATAAAACATATGATGAGTATATAAACATATATATAGTATATATAATATATATATATAATAAAAATTAAATTTTAATAAATACCTTGAAGTAGGAGGCAATATCTCGTAACACGTTGTATTGGCATTATCATATAATCAGAAAGGTTGAGGCGACTCGTTTCTGGTTTTTTTAATGACTATAATCAAATATGCATATATATATGTATATTTAGTATATATATTTTTTTTAATACAGTACTGAGAGAGAAATTCAGAAATACGACATCATACCTGCATAAACTTTCGACATAAAACGTTTTCATTTGCACGTTTAATTGCCAACCTACTTTGTTCATGATTTTCTGCGTATAATAATAATGTTTCAAAATAAGGTCTGTATTTTAAAAATACTTCTCCAACCATTGATTCAGATTCTTGCCATGGATCCATGCTACTTTCGAGATCTTCTACAATTATAGTAGATAATACTATAAGGTCACTTATATGGGCAAAGATTGTTTCAATGTCATCAGGATTAACTAGCGGATTAGGTTGTTGAGCCGCATCGATAAATGGATCCATGAATATCTATATAATATAATTAAGAAGATAATTCATAATATAATTAATAAGATAATTCATAATATAAGTAATAATATAATCCTAGGATAAAATAAATGCGTACCCTTTTTAGATCTTTTAAATGACTCAGATAACTTTGTTCAGTAGAATAAATCTCACAAGAAATGAATTTTCTCATTTGAATTGACTTAGTAGTGACATCAATCTCTTTTTCAACATCAACCTGAAGGACAGGAGAAGAAGGGACAGTTGGAGGGTCTTTTATAACCGTATCAACGTTACCATTGTCATCAACATTAACAACCTTCACATTAGAATTTCTTGTTTTATGAAGATGATTTAAAAGACGAATTTCTGATTCAGCAGCAATTTGTTGATTTGTTTTTATAGAATTAGTGTAAGCGTAGGAATTTCTTCGTTTCCCGTCAAGAATAACACGCTTTTTCGAAAATATGTTTTTAAGATGCCGTACTTCTATGTGAGACCAACTACGCCTAATATCATAAAATTCATTTAAAGAACACCTTTTATTTATAAAGGTGATAGTGTTCGGAGGATCGGAGAGAGTATCGGAGGGAACATCGGAGACAGGAGAATCACATCTCATGGTATCATTTGTACCCGACACCAAAGAATCATGATTGAGTAAAGAAGGATCAGGTAATGATATAGGTCTAAATTCGGTTGATTCACATTTTTTACGTTTAGAAGAAAACTTTGATGACAAATCCTTAACAGATTCATCAACAACTTGACCATTTTCTTTATTTAACAAGTCATTAAATGATCTTGACCGGGAACGTAGTCGACTTTTTGAAGAATCTCTTTCATCATTTTCAAATTTTCTTAAAAGACTAAGAGTTCGAACCATGAATTTGTTGGTGGAAACGTTATCTTGACTCTTCTCAACGGTTTTTTTCTTGCCCATTTTGTTATGGAAATTTTTGAATCCTGATAATTTACGAGTACAGGGGTGTGTTGGCGGTGAAGGATCACACTGATTCGTGTCTACACAAAAAAATATATGCGATGAAAAAAAAAATTGGTAAGTTTTTAAAGATTTTAAAAAATATATATATATATATGTATATTTTTTTTTAAAAAAATGACTAGCAGGAATAAGTTTTCATTAAAGGAGAATATTGGCGCGAAAAACCGAGGATTACAAAGTGATTACGAGAAGAGGATTACGATAAGTGGATTACGATAAAAGGATTATAAGTAGTTGTTCAAGTAACTAGCCAATGTGCAATGGGCTAAGCGTAAATGATAATCAAATATATGTGGCTGTAAAAGTGTTTAAAAAGTATAAATGGTATAAAGTTATATATCTTTAATAATATTGGATGAATATCATTGACTATAATTCGCGCCAAAAGGGCAAATAATTTATTATGTAATTCATCAAACCACTAGACTATCCGTATTGCTTATGTAAACTTGATAAAAGTCTAATAAATTTTATGAAATGAGATTATGATCAATCATGATACCTACCATTTAACTGAGATGGAGAGGAGGTTAAATCAATGACATTATTAGTCGTAATATTTGAGAGCTGAGGAGCCATAGGTGAGACGGATGGAAAGCTTTGATCAGTTAAGTCTTCCACCCAAGTGATGGAAGAATTAGGAGATCTTGGTTTTGTGTCAGTTGATAATATTGACTTTTCATGAATAAAAACAGTTAGCGGTTAAATTAAAATTTTAAAAAATATTAGGTAATATTAGGTAGGAAGAGAAACTTACCTTATTTGCAAAAATTGTAGACTTTATTGCATGATGTCGTAGACTATCGATGGTTGTATCGAGCGGTTCGTCATCACTATAAAAAATAAATAAATAAATAAATAAATAAAAATAAATAAATAAATAAATAGAAATAAATAAAAAATTAAAAAATAATTAAAAAAAATAATTAAAAAAATAATAAAAATAATAATTTAAAAAATAATAAAAAAAATAATTTAAAAAATAATAAAAATATAATTAAAAGTTAAATCGTTTAAAAGAAATGAGTCATATAATAATGAATAATAAATTATATAATAAATTATGTAGTAAATAAATTATATAATAAATTATGTAGTAAATAAATTATAATAAAAATATATAATAAATAATAAATAAATTATACATATTTAAACGTACGTTTCTTGACTATCGTCATCAAGTATCATTTCTATATCATCATCATTCATGAAGCGGAGAGAGTTTGTAGGTGACGAAGGAGTATTATCGGTATCGGTATTATCAGTTGTATTATCAGTTGCACAGGAGTTACAAGATAATTTACTAGAACTAGAATTGAACCGAGAACAAACAACTTTACTAGGTCTAGAAAGGTCTAGTTTAGAATCATGGAAATGACGCGTTGTCTTGTCATTGTTCAAACGATGGTTGTTATTAGATATATCATTGGCTTTTGAAGCGGCATCCACCGGTTTTTTTGATATTGCCGATTTGAAAGACCATTTCGTTTTTTTTTTAGAAGAATGCAAAGAACTATTGTTCATTGTTTTAGTTGTAGGTTGTTGGGATCCAGTGGTTGATAATGTGGTAGAAGCGGCTGGCATTATGACACCCTGTGTAGCCCGCTAACGAAAAGGTAAAAAGATAGTTTTTTTGAGAAGAGTGAGAATGATCGAGAGAACAAATTCCTAATAGATAAGGATACTATGCAGTTATTTAAAACAAAATCGGGCGTAATTGTTTGTTGGCAAAAAATCCAAATAAAATTTTTTTTTTTTCGATAATTGAAGTAATTGATATGGTATACAAATATAAAGAAACAATAAATTTTTAAAGAAGTATAATTCTAAACAAAAAAAAAAAAGTGTTTTTTCCTTTTTTTTTTTTTTTTTTTTTTTGTAATAAGGTTGAAGAGAAGAGAGAAGAAAAAAGTTTAATTCCTAGTTTTCAAAGTAATGCGACTAGATATAAGTGGATATTATATATTAATTTATATAATTTATATTTCAATACTTTTAATAAAAAATAGAAAACAAAATGCACCAAGTCCCAGTTGGCACCATGAAAATTTAAAATTAGATAAAAAAAAAAAAAAAAGTGGAAAAGAGCAAAAAAGCAAGATTTATTGAAAAGGCGCAATAAAAAAAAGGTATTTATTATGCTATTCCACCGATGAAAAAAATCCCCCTCGAGAGTGAATACAATATATATATATAAAATAAAATATTTAAAATATATTATGCATAAATTTTTATAATGAAGCACCCTTACTTACAACAGTCGAATAATGCACTAATGAATCAATCGCAATGATTGTAACAAAAAGTTCAATCATACACTACATGCCAAAAGATATGTTGTGAAACAAGAAAGTATAGAAGGTAAGTATATATACTTTATAAATATAAGTGTTAAATTATAATGGCAATTTTAATGTATAATGTGAGAGTATAAATTATAATAAATGCGCATACACAAAAAATTCATCATTGGCAATGACGATTACGTACAGTAAATGTACACAAAGGGTTTTTCTTGCTTTTCCTGATAACAATGAATTGGTGCCGGAAAATTAGAGAAAGGTAAGGATCATGCGATCATGCGATCATGCGGACCGGTATTTTGAAAGGTTGCAACTCGCAAAGAAATATTGAACATGCGTTTTATTATTACATATGTTTTATTATTACATATGATAGCATTTCATAACATTTATAACATTTATAACAACACTTTGTGACATTTTGTGATATTTTGTGACATTTTATGACATTTTATAGCACGTGTTATTTCATCATCTTTTAGAATCTCTAAGAATCCTTAAGAATCTTTTAAGAATCCTTAAGAATCTTTAAGAATCTTTTAAGAATCTTTAAAATCTTTAAAAAACGGTTATACGATTATCGGTAAGCCATTTACCCGGATATTGTAATTAGTTTCTAACGAAAGTAAGTAAAAGGTAAAAAAAAAAAAGAAGTATATATGTACATATATATATACTTGAATGTTTTCTTGAATGGTGAAACATTTCTCCATCAAGGAAATTGAATTTGTCAATGACATTTGGGATCGGTTACTTCCGCCGAATCACATGGATAAAAAACGGACAATTGTTCACCGAGAAAGTAATAACTTTTGGGGGGTTCAACGCATAAAAACAATGGTTGTGCGCCATTTAATGATAATCATAAAACCATTTCCCCATTAATCGGACTCACCTTTCTAATAAAAAGTACCATATTAATTATAATAATAATAATAATAATAATAATTATTATTATTATTATTATTATTATTATTATTATTATTATTATTATTATTATTATTATTATTATTATTATTAT